AGAAATTCGAAATACGCTTTGTGAATAAATGACAACTTATTTATGAACCATTCAAGTGCGTTCCAAATAAAATTATGCTGTGAATAAAATCTTAAAAAATAGCACGACTTATATGTACAATTAAAATTTTGAAAGATAACTTTACATGGATAGGTGAAATACTAGATAATTAAAATCGTTAACGTTTGAAAGCTAAATAAATAAATTTTGTAGCATTACCGTGGCGTATCTTAAAGATATATTTTCAGCACATTTCTAATTTGCTTATTGACTCCATACTCTTCAGTACAAGTTATTAGTATATTTTTCGATTTCGATTATTTCGGATTTATTACGCGTTTGTTTGTGATTTTAACATCATACTCCCGACGTTTCGGTTACTTTGCAACAATCGTGATCACAGACAGACGAGATGAAAATGTCATTTCGTCAAAATAAAAGAACGATAATAAATAAAAAAGAACGATAAAAAATCCAAAAATTCTCTGAAAAGTCTTAGAGATCATTGAATTTTTAGGATAAGCTTACATTAAAGTTATAGTCTTAAATTTACATGCCACGTTCGAGAGGTTAGTTTCTGATGTAAGGACAATTACAATGTAAAGATGACATTTAAAAGTTAACACGTGCTTACTCTCATTCATTCAACATTAATATAGAGAAGAGGAAATACTGAACGAACTAAGAAGTGATACAATATGTACCTACGCTTTGGATAAAGTAAAATAATAAAAATTTTATATTTCACTAGCTGACCCGGCGAACTTCGTACCGCCCTATAATCAAGCAATATCTGTTACCTTTTTATCTGAATGAAGTTAATTTATTAATTAAGTGTAACTGACCCGACGGACAGAGTTCTGTCTTCTTAACTGTGATTATTGAATTCTAATTGGTGTATTAATAAAAAAAATATTCCAAAAACAAATTAATAAATTATCCTGTAAAAACCAATGTAAAAAGTACACTTTGAAATGGTAAATGAATTATGTTAGTATTCTGTTATTATAACTCCGGCCACAGATCAACTCCGATATATTTGCAAATACTATGTTAATTTGTATTAATTTTTTCTTTGTTTTAATGGCAACTACGTGAATAGTACTGCCAGTGACACATTGTTAAGAAAAATTCAATATTTTTTCTAGTATTTTTTTCTTACATAAAAACCTTCTCTTAATAATAACAAATACAACAAAAAAATAATTAGTGAAATCGGTCCAGTCATTCACGCGTTATACCGTGACCAAAGGAAAAAGGGATTCATTTTTATATACATATATAATAAGATATAAATATTGAAATTATGAAAGGGTCTTTGTACAGAGATGGTGATTCTTCATAGTATTAATATTTAATTCAGTGGAATCACGTAAAGGTTTCTTTTTGTAAGATTATACATTATCGTACATTATACGGATTGCCTTAGAAAATAAGGCGTGGTCCCTCATATTACGCTGATTTATATATACATATTTAGAATCAATAAAACCTCTACAACAATATGGAGAAAACATACTTGCCATGGATTTCAAATGAAAGTCTTAGCAACAACTCATACCAAAAAACATTCTCGAATACTTTTCATATATTAATATATAATTTACATATATATTCCGTTTCTAAGTAACAGTTAAAGAACATTATGTCACGTATAAATTTATTGTTTTTCCATCAATCATCTCCGTTTTTGATTACAATATAAGTAACAGTAAGTTTAAGTAGAAAAGAAAATTAAAAATTAACTTCAAAAATTATATGTACCTATAAAATTATCAGATAAATTTAATTTTTATCAAATTTATACTATATGACATTTCTTTAACTTTAATCCAATGAAATTTGATTTTCGTGCTGATTTTTTCATGCACTAAACGATAACATTCTCGTAAAATTCATTCGTTTATTTAAGGAATATTAGATGGGAATCATCTATTTCAGTCTCAATGGATATTTCATTACAAAAGGCCAGTTTATATTGTACTAGCCATTCTCTAGTACATACGAGTATATGGTTCATCTCTAAATGGATTAATAAGTTGGAATTGTAGAAAACTTTATGTCGTATCATGTCACCGATGTACAAAAGAATCTTTTACGTATATGTAGATCGGATTTATTCTTTGATATGTATATTCGTGCTATCTTCAATAGTTATCTGATAAAAGTATTCACATTTTTAAAGTCTTTCACGCAAATCTCTTCGATGCATGTCTATTTCCATCTTTATCCGTATTTCGATTTGCGAAAATATGCGACTGTGTTCTCGTATGCGACATTCCGCGAGAGACGTCTTAAATGTCTGTCTCACAATATAAATTTTTTGAATATTGAAATACGACGTACACAAAACGTTTTCAAATCGACTGTTAACTGAAACTGAACGGTTTGAATTTTTTCGCATGCATCATTTTATATTGGAAAACTAATACTTTTTTATTATGCAGTAGCAAAACATTGAACTGTAAATATGTCTGTTTGTCTTTCTGGCAAATAAATACCGTGCTCAAACAAGGTGTTCACATTTTATTAAAAATCTAAAGCGCTGCACTATGTACATTTAAGTCCAGGCAACCGTAATGGTAAATATAATCAACGCGTACTTTTATAACATGATAACATACAATGCTATACATCAAAGTGGAACTTTATATTTTTTCTGCTAATAATCCTTTGTGTGAGCGTCTAGTTTTTTTTCTACGCTGTTACGAAGAAAAACCCACTGTGATAACTTTTTTATTTAGAAGAGAGGTATTAATGATATTTTATTACATGAAATGAATGTCATGATTCATTGTTTAAGTAGAAAATGTATTTTGATACTAGCACACCTCCGCAGCTTCGTTCATTTTTGTTATCTAACTCTTATTATAAAGATAAATGTTTCATACAAGAAGCTTTTCACTTTGGCACTTAATATTTTTAATTAACAAATATATATCTAAATATAATAATTTTTCACAAGAGGACTTTGAAATTCAATAACGTTGATTCGTTTTACGTAGTGTTGTTTTACATCCAAATCAGGATATTCAGCTGGTAGGATTTAAAAAATTTTGTGTAAATAATGTGTTTTTATTTCAAAAATGTATGAGTGTAAATTTAAACAATTCCTAAATGTTTTAAGTTGTTTAAGATTTAGCAACGACTTTTGTTAGCATCGTCGCCATTAGCTTTCCACTATGTAACAGGCGTATATTATTAACAAAAAAGTTATGTTTTGTTGTTATAATTATAATTAATATGTTCTAAAATAAATAACTATCAATAGCTATTACAAAGTATAACTAAACTAATAATTATCTTAATGTATATGATGTTGTTTGTTTATTTGTCTATTAAATTACACAAGTTCTGAATAATATAATCTTACTCACTCACTAATATTATTTACTCAGAGTTTAATAATTGTACATAAATTATTTTGTACAATTATTAAACTCTAGTAGGTTGGTATTTTTCCTTCATTTTATATTTTGTTTATTGAGATTGTAATAACATATTTTTTTATATATATTGTTGATGTTGATTAACTTTCATTAAAGTGTTTTGTCGATAACAGTGGAAATTATACATTTGAAATCCATAAATTAAACACGTATGACAGCTAAAGGTCAATAGTGAAAGGTCGACTATCTTATTACTTTAATCAATGAGATAAATGATAACATCTATACAAACAACAATTACTGTGTAATCTTTATTTCCTAGTTACTGTGTGCCCGTGTCTTTTCTTTTACGCAATTAGAAATATTTTATAATTCAGTTTCTTATTTTATTACAGTCTAATAAAGGGACTGAACGTTCAAACAAAATTAAAAAGTAGTTTGAATTTATTTGTCATGTATTCCTGTGATAAATTTTAGTTATTTATTAGAAAAGTTTTTTAAATAAAAGCAGAAACGATTAAAAAATGTTAGTCTCTATGATTATTACATTCTAACAAGCATCAACGTTATTGCTTCATGTTTCCTCTCAGAATATTCTTGATTTTTGTAACTCACTACTTTTGTAAGGTTCGCTTCATAAACTACCTTATAGATTTTAACAGATTTTTACAGAAAACTGCTCTTTTATCAAGCGGTTGCTGAGCAAATGTGTAGACTTTATTCGTTGCATGCACCGTACTCTAGGTAGAAGTTGTGTATAGAATTTCTTTTAAAAATATGTTATGACTTTGAGGTAAACTTTTTTAATTAACGTCCTCAAAGGAAATAACTTCATTATTTTGTAATATAGGAAATATGAAACATTTTTACTTTATCGATGTATAAAATCATTTTCACTTACTCTTGCATCTAAGCTTCTGAGGTTCCATCAAAATTCTACGATCAAGATGCTAAAGCAATTTATCAGCCTTCAAAACCTCCACACTTACGGCTTCCGTTTATATATAAAGCATTAAACGCTCGAGTCATAAGATATAAGATAAGATAGTACGCCTGAAAGTGTCCTCACGTACCATTTATATATATTTTTTAAAACTGTGATTCTTAGGGAATTCTCAGCTTTCAAACTAGGTCATGAAATATGATTTTTAACCGTATAAATCAGAAAATAACTGTCCCTAACAAGCTCGTGATTTACGCGTTTTTCATAAAGGACTGAACAACGTTAATGACTTGTTGATGTTCAGATAACTAAGATGTTTATTCCTTTTTTCTAGGAATAAAACCTCTATAATGGTTCGCAAAAGACTTTCCTCCTACCCTTTTAATTATAGAAAAAAAAGCTAGCAGATAAATAAATCAATATTACGTTGACGTACACTAATGGGGAAAAAATAAATTTTAAGCGATGTTTTCAAAGGCTGTATCTTTAATGAAGATGGTCGTATCGTAAAAAAAAACAAGCTTCAACTTTATTATTGTTGGATCTCGACAGTAAATATTTATGTAATGCATATCGGACATTTTTTTTTCTTAATTAGTGTTTTTCATGATGAATACAATTTATACAGTAATAAATATATAAAATAATATAGCTCAAAAGTATTTTAGTATTGTTTAGTCGTTGTAGATGGTATTTGCAGCTAGTGTTTGACGCAGGTCGATGCCTGCCTGTTCTCTGCGTTCACCTGTTCCACGTGTACGGGCTCATCTCGCACTACCAACTGGACGCGGCCTGCGCTTGGAAGCTGTTCTCCCTGATCGAGGAGGGATATCACAGCACCAACCCATATCACAACTCGATTCACGCTGCCGACGTCACTCAGGCGATGCATTGCTTCCTTCAACAAAATCAGGTAAGCACTCCTTGCAATTGGATAAATTTCATTTAAACCATTTATTCCCCAATCTTGTTTGGTTTTATCATTTAATTCAACGCATAACTAATGTCCACTTTAACAAATATTGTTGATATAAACAAAAATACTGGGTATCCTTTTTATGAAATAAAACTTATGTTTTCGGAATTATTTTTATTTTCGATGTTTCGAAACGAGACTAAACCTCTCATCATTCCATTAATTAACCGTTCGAGTGCCGCGTCCATCTCGGTGCGGGGAGAGGAGCTTTAACTTCGCCTGGGACTTGCGACCCAGGTGAAGGCTTAAGGGGCCTCTATCTAACGCAAGTTAAACGCTCGCCTTCGCTGTCCAAGCTCTTCTCTTTACCTAACCAAATATTATCATGTGTAATTTTATGAATGTAATATCAAACTACATTCACCTAATCCAATGCTTAATGGTTTCTTTAGTAATTTCCTGAACAGAGTGCAGTAACGATTGAATTTATTAAGCCTTATTCATTTCGATTTTCCACCCTACATCTCATACTATTAATTTAAAATACTTATTAGACAATTTTAGCTTAGTGTTTTAGTATTTTATTTTATTCCATCGTAGTATATGCTCTTTAAATTCTATAAATTCAATTCATTATCAATGTGTACAAGGAAATTTTATCAATGACTCGTTTAATACGTAGATAATAGCATAAAGCTTATATGTTCTCCGTTAATTAAATGAATGAAAACAATATAATAAAGACACAAGACACCCGTGGTGTTGAATAATTGTGAAGAGAATAACAAATTAAAGTAACATGTGTATTTCGATGCTTTGAAAGCCAATGACAATCTCATAAGTACTTTGTCTATTAGTTTCGGATGTCTGAGCAAACATTTGAGTTAATTGCCGTGGTGTTCGGACTAGTTGATTGATTGACCCCACTAAAAGCATTTCTATATTGAAGCAAATAAGATTAATATGTCTTATTTGTATGGACTTATTGGTTTATTGCGATCTTGCTCGGCGCACGCATATACATATATGTAATCGGTAACATCACTCCAATTATACAGGAAACTGATTAAACGTTCATCAAAATTATGTTCAAGGTCTATATCGATAAATAAACTCGTTATATAACTTTAACGTCGAATAAAATCAATCTATTCGGGGTGATCTTTGGAATAAGGATTGGTTTTAAAGAAAGTATCTGAGTTGTTAAATTATTTCTTTACAAATCTCTAATGTTAACTGGTTTAATAAATAAATAACCAAATATAATAACCAAATAACTACTTCTTGTTAATTTGTTACTTTATTTTTGTACATAATAATGCATATGCAGTACATTAAGTACTAACTAAGAAATTCATTTTTAATTCATTTTCATTACTCGTTGAATTTTATAAGAAAATATTTACAACAAAAAATGAGCTTCAATTTTAGGATGCAAAGAATTAGATGAGAAATCTTGAGAGACCTAAAGCAAGTTACCCGTCATGAAGTCCATCTTTATTTCCCTTCCAAGAAATACGAGCATGCTATGAATATTATTTAAAATGACACCGCTTTTTTCTTTCCTTTTTTAAAGACATTCTTTTCTATTTTACTAAAAAATGTTGAGATAATTTAATGGAAATATTATACTTTATTATGAAATATATGTATAACGTACGAGTATATAAGACAACTTGTTTTTAACTCATCAGTTTCAAAACTTTTGTATGGAATCGTGTGTACGAAATTCTTTCAAAAGCATAAGTGAATCTTTTCTATACTTTGGCTTAATCTTCTAAACATAGTTACATAAACAGGGTTTCGTTATTAATTGCGACTACTAATTGCATTACATTTTCTTCTCGCATCATACGATCGAGTTTCTGTTTTTAAAATTTTTACGATAATTCAATTTTTTTTACGCAATTATATTGTGATGTGAAAGTTTTTGTGGATACTTAAAATAGAACACTAAAATTGTTATTAACTTATTAACAATCTTATAAAACTCATCTCGTTCAGACTTCTAATGTTTTAATTGAAAAAATTGTTTAAAACAACTTCATAACTAATATTTATTGAAATTAAACCTTAATAATATAGTTTTTGACTGTGTTGTTGTTGACGGTCAATAAACGTAGAACAATTTCACTCTAGTTGTATTTTACTCTATAAAGCCGCTAAGTACGTTTCGTCTCTAGGGAATTTTCTTACAAAGTAGTTGTAGATACATCGGAGTATTAAAAGTAGTCAAAACAAACTCGGTTCTTAAAATACACTTGTAATGATGCAGTGAATTCGATTGAAGTACTCATTTTAAGTAGAATTGTAAATTTCGTAAATTTTTATATTTGAAATTGCCACGGACGAATATGAATAATATTAAATTTTAAAATGCATTGTTCATTTTCTTTTTTCAATAATCCTCTATATAATACAAATGATTTTTCATTTTAACGAAACAAAGGTCGGCACAATTTATGTAAATTACCAAAAATTTTACTATCAATAATTCCTACTAAAATATAAAAGCATAAATTGGCTTCGTGATTTATTTTGCCAACAATTCAATATGAAGAGGCTATTTATATTTGATTGTTATGTTTAAATAACTCCCTTTAACAGGATTCAGTGCTGTATTATTGAAATAAAATAGAAATAATTCACACTAAAAATAAAGAGATAAAAATTTAATCATATGTAGTAAAAGCTTAATTCTTTTTAAAAACCACAATTTATTTTAAAATACAACATCCCGATTGTATACTAAAACCTATACTCTAATCATTTAATATAAAGTAATGAAATATTTAACTTGACGCAATAAACAAACTTCTTTGAATTGTTCCTATTTATTGTATAAAGAAGCAAAAAACAAGTAAAAGTTGCGTAACTAAACGAAAGTTAGATTTGCATAAGTTTATAAATGTGACCAATAATGTGACAATATTGTTTAATTACCCAAGAAAATCTCTACTAAGTGGTTATTCAATAGTTTTAACATACAAAGCAAAGGAGTAAATTCAGTGTCACTTCGAATAAGGTATATGGCATTTTAATTGTTACTGAAGAATGAATCGAAAGACAGCTTTTTTAATTTAGTGCTGTATCGGTTCGCTAGCTCCTTTGTTACTGAATAACAAACGAACATAACTACATACAGTCGTTTTTATAATATACTAGTAGACCTGGCGAACTTCGTATCGCCCTATAATCAAGAAATATCTATTACGTTTTTTTATTTATATTTTTGGAGTTTACCTGTAAGCCATAAATCTCCGTGTTTTGAAGTGCGACAGAATGATTGACATATTAGTTAGTTGTCAAATCTAATGTCAAAAAAAACGTTTGTATAGGAAATAGAAAAGGGCTGTTTTTATGGTTTTCCCAGTAATGAATCCATTTTTTTCAGGTTTTATACCTTCCCTGAACCTCCACGAACATTTCAAGACTAAGATAAGATAAATCCGTTCAGTCGTTCTCGAGTTTTAGCGAGACTAAGGAACAGCAATCCATTTTTATATATATAGAAGATTAATATAACTTTAGAATCGACGGCGTGTTCATTTTCGTTTTATTAAATCTTTTAAATTAATATAGAACCAGATCTAATAATATCCCCATAGACAGCAATCTTTGCGTCGCACAATAGACGATATAAGATGAATGCGAGCACAATCCCAATAATAGACTCGGTATATTGTAAAATAATATCTACGACGCTCCCGCTGGACAAGACTTCATTCGCTCCTCATGACTACAACATCTTACCAAGTGGAACCGTTAATTCTCTACTATAAAAGGGATAACATTCAATTTACTTCTATTTTATACTTCAGTTACAATTTGATTCTAGTTACTGATAGAATGCTAGCTGTTTTACTATTTTCATTTCGCTGATGCCACTTTAATTGTCCTATGATTTCCTGTCATATCACATTGGTCATGAAAATAGAACTCTGTAACTATTTCTACTATATCTGGGAATCTTCTAAAATTTTAGTTTCGCTGTTAAAGTATGATGACACATTTCCGATATTGAAACACTCGAATCGACTGGTCCAATTAATTGTGAACAAAGCCGTCTACATAAATGTATGCTGTTTGTACTAAATGTCTGCTTGAGTTTAGATGAACGACTGTCAATACCATCACGAAATGCAAAATAGCCTCAAGCTATTACCGTATTCGTTGTACTGTTTAAATTTACTATTGTTCAGTAATTGGAGATATTGTTGAGCTCTATAATATATATGTATCTTTTAACACACACACAACTTTACCTAATAATTAAGTTAATTAATTTAATGTTATTATAGTGTGAGTTTAGTTCTATGTTCGTTATTACTTCAAAACTAATAAGATTTATAAAATTATTTTTTGCCATTAACTTAAGCTACTGGAGTTTTTAAAATTTATCTGCATATATTTTTGAAGTGTATTCTCTTATATTAAGAATTATTATAAATTTACTAAAATGATCAAATTAATCGGAATATGCATTGCAGCCAACCAACTTCTTTGTTCTGTTTTTAAAAGGTCAACATGCAAGGCAACTTGCGTATGTTTGAACTTTCTGCCATGACGAAGATAGAAATTTAATTCACTCTAGAGAACTTCCTACTTTATTGCCCTGCTTTAGTTAAAAATAGTATACAACACATACATAATGAAGAAACAAAAATAGAGAACCCAACTAATAAGAAAATATAAAAAAAATAATAGAAATTCTTCTCTCTCAAGGACTAAAATATTTAACATCCCATAAAAATTTTAAGAATTATCTTCAACACTCTTTAGAAATCTGAGGAACAATGGAAATTGATTTGAACGGATAAAGAAAAATGCGATGTTCCTTTATATGAAACGATTCCCATTGTTCAAAATTGAAAAATTCCATGTCGTACAAAAAGTGTTTCCACAAAAAAATACCCTTAACAACTCCATGTTAATCTACTTTGAAGATATTAATTAAAACATTTTAAGTAATTCTTATTATCAAAAATGATTTTATTAATATTTTTTTGAGATTTCAAAGAACTCTGTCATATTTAAAGCCTACATTGTCTCAATGCATCTCTTTGATTCGAGGCTCTAAGCTTTGAGCTCTTTTAAACTTCAAAGTAAGGATTACTACCTCATCAGACATAATCTTTAAAAAAAGGAAAATCTATTAGAAGCTCTAAAATTACCTCCCTTTAGAAATTTTAATATTGCACATAGACTCTCACATGCATTTTACCTTAATAATTTAATTTGTTGTGGTTTTGATTTAAAATGTTCACTCTGTTTTACAATTACGTTGAGTAAATATGGTGGAAAGGCTTAATTGACCGATACTCTTTTAGTATTAATTTAAAATATTAAAACTGTAACACGTGTTACTGTATTTTTTATAGGGAATTTTCGTTTCCTACTTCTCTAAGGAGGACTTCGTGATTAAATAGAAGGAATCAAGTCTATTATTAAACGTGTCATTATCAATTTTATTCCCTAGATCCTTGATTACTTGGAGCCGATCGAGATAATGGCGTCCTTGCTAGCCGCAATCGCACACGACATGGACCATCCTGGGGTCAATCAGCCCTTCCTGATAGCGACCTCCAACCATCTCGCCACTCTCTACAACGTAAGTCCATACTTTAATATACGCAAATGTAATTACACCACACACTCAATCTACTTTTTATGTTCAATTAATTTATAAAAGCATAAGCCATAAACACTATGTGTTTTTAAAAATGTTCCTGACCAGTTTATTATAACATTTTAATAACTTTCTCGTCTACGGGACCGACCGTGCAGAATTAATTTATTAAGCCAAAAAGTATGCTATGACCGCGTCATTACCGCGACAACAGCACATTACTTTGGCCTTTTATAATAATGATTGAAAGTAAAACTCAATTTAAAATGTTTCTTTTTGCGTGTTGTGTATTTTGTTTTATGTTTTCTCATCTTTAACTTGTAAAACCTAAGTAGCTTCTGTTATTAAAAATGTGATTAACTCACTTTTTAAACTAATTCCGACAGACATACAAAGGAAAAATGAGGAAGCAATGAGTAAATTTAAAACTGATTTAAGATAAATGAGTCTGTGAAGGAACTATGAATAATAAACATAGTCCCAAGAAAACTAGCGCTTAATAAGAACCTTAGTTGTGGGATGTTTTTTCTATTTACATACATTTTGTAAAGTCTTTTTATCTTACTTAGTTAATAATGATAAACAATGCTTCCGTCTACAACTTAATAAAATATCGGTCTGTATTTATAAAAGAAGATTTTAAAGCTTACGAAAGCGTTGTAAGCAACATCGGCGTTGTGCCCTCAAGCCATAATTTTTAAAAAACCTATGTTAACTTGAAACTAATCAATTTCGGCCATACTTAACTGATCTATGAGAATAAACAAATCTAACGTTTCTATTTCAATCTCCTCCATTCAAATATTACTTTAATAGTTAATGAAAAAAACCGTATACATAAGAACTGGTTCGATTTCATATTAAACAAACCTAAATTAACTATCTGCTACCGTGATGGTCTTGCACGTGTATCAAATACAGAATAGATGTTGATATAGTATTACCTTGAAAATTTATTTCAAATGTTCGAAAAATCATCCAAGGTAAAAAAATTATAGGACTTTTATGGAACTAAGTAATTAAGTTGCCATCAGTAGTGTGGTTATTAAAAAATATCGATTTAGATTCGATTGAATTTTTGTGTATTCAATTCTAAATGTTTCAATATTGTTTTTAATTATTTACAAATAAAATGATAACTAAACTTTATTTTTATTCCTTGCCAGTCAGCGGTGAAAGCAATACATTTATAATTTTTGAGCACATTTTTATACCCATCACCAAGAACCTTTGAGTATATTCAGGAGTAGTAAAGTATTGTAACTAATCCGCAATCATGTTTTCTAAGTCACAATATTAAAAAGCATTATGCGATTTTCCTTTGATTATATAATATACATAAACATTCCTTTAATTACCTTATCTTGTTACCATGACAAACTTATTTAAATATGCAAAAAACAACAAGAATGTAGTAAATAACTAGTTATAAACGAATTTCTTCATATTTAAATATTTTAGAAACGCTTTTATAAAATCAACTATTATTAAAGAGAAATGCAGGTGGTTTTAGACACACATACCTTTTATCGCTCCCGCATATCCTTCATCTCTTGAGAGATATCTTTATAGCTCTGTAGAGAAGTAAGCCTGCTTTATTTTGTCATGCTTTGTTGTCCAGAAAAGATTTTAATTTTCTAGTCTCTGTTATTGCTGCCGCTGGCTTATTTGTGATTGTTTCTTTGTGAAAGACCTTCCATAGGTAAATACGACCTTTATAGTTATTCAACGTGATCATTAAAGTATTGTGAAAAACAAACAGTTATAAAAAATAATAATATATCAAAAGTTTTATAGTTTATGTAGCTATACTTACAACTATTATATCAATTGTTTAATGAGAGCTTTCGAAGTTATTTATTAATAAAATAAAAGTATGATAGTTTCTACTTTCAACACTACTAGTAAAAATAACTTAGTTTAATTAAGCGTAATGATAATACATATATATAATATTTGTAGTCATAAAATATAAAGATGACACTTGAGATCTAACGAGGAGTCGGGAGCTGCCGAATAACTCGTTTAATTAATTCTATTATCAAATACAAATTTCATATAAAGCGTACAAATAAACCATGCATATTATCAATTACTACCGGAATTAATTTGAACAACAAGTGACGCAACACGTAGCTTTATCAAACTTAGACGGTATTGTAAGGTGGCCCGGATAATTGTTTTAGTACAATTATGAAAACACTTCCACAGTACTGAGAGAAATTCAGTTGAAATTCTACGTGAGCTCCCAGCAACGTACTTAAAACTTAATATTGGTAACCCAGCAGGCTCTGCGATACTAAATACTATTAACAGGCTAACTTATTGTTGCCTCTCAATAATGATACTCTCTAACATATTATAGTCAAAGTTTGAAGAGAAATTTCACAGGAACCAAGAAAGCTGCTCATAAAAGTATATGTATATATATTGTATTTGTGAATTGATATAATGAGCTTGTCATTGCAATCTTTCATATAAAATAAATTTTTGATTTACATATTTTTCTTACAACTTTAGAATATAAATTTTTGTGTTTAATTTAACTTCAACTTTTAACTTCCTGCATTTTTTTTATAATTCAGAATCGACTTAAACATTATTTAGCTTTTAATTTGTAAAGCCAGACAACGTGTCTAAACACGAAATGTATTTAATAACATCTTATTTTAATTATTCAATAAATGTAGGCTACAATAACATTAAACCATATCTCTTGCCTTCTCTTCTTTATGAAAATAGTAAAATGATTAATATAGAGCAATCCTTGGCAAATTTTTCAACTCATCACGTCGTCAGCATTTCGGACTCTGGCGATAGTTGCCTTATCGATTGAACGTATGAGATATGCTAACAATTTCTGACGTTCATGAATACCACGTAGTATAATCAATAAGGTGGTTGAGAATCGCTGTGGTCAAGTCACTACGCGTCGCACATGGGCTGGCTCGGCCGGAGAAGTATCACGCTTTCACAGAAGATCGGCGTAACGTAGTCTATAATGTCTGCGTTTCGACCGATGTATTTGAGAGCCAGTGCTCTTTCCCTTTTCCGACCCATACCTCCTCTCACTCTTTTCCTACCCTTCCTTCTCCCTCTTCCACAATCAAGGACGACAATGCATCCCCAACAATTCTTATGTTGCTAATGACGATGGACGACGGTGACTACTACCCATCAAATAAGCTGTCTGCTCATTTGCCACCTTTAACACATATAATTTATGTATATGTAAACTTTGATTTAATTATAATACATTACAATAATATTTTTTATGTTATTTAAAATGTTCTACTTAAGCTTTTCATGTCATTATTAAATTACTCTTGATTGTCATCTAGCGTGTTAAATAACAGAATAATATTTATTTCAACTAGTAATTACTTTGTACAATTAAACACTGACAACTTCAACTTCATCGAACTCAATTAATATGAACAAAGTTACTAAGTTTTTTATCGTCTTTCATAATTTAGTCATCGTGTTTACAAAACATTAGTAAAACTTCTAGTCTGTATACTATATCATGAGTTACATTTTAAATGGAATTAACTTCATCTATAGTGAAATTTTACCTTTTATTTATTTATATAAAACCCATATTCTTTTTATTTCAACGCCGATATTTTTTGTATTATTTAAAGAACCTCAAGGATATAATATCATGTAACATATTCGATAAATATTGTTTTCGTGAATATTATTAACGTACAAAACTCTTCGCTATTGTTACTAATCAAATTCAATTCGATTAAACTAAAACTTTATGTATATTTAAAGTTTGTACAGCCGTTAAACGGATACATGTATCTAAAAATTATATATCTTATATTATCAGCTTATTTTGCGTTCCAAAAATGTATAAATTAATATTAATATTACAGCTTATGTATAATGTTCTATTAAACATTCAGTATGTTAAATGAAAAGAAAAACACTTTTTATATATCGTATTTTTATCAAAACACAAGTATTGCTTCCTATATCAAATTTAACCCAAGACTATTAAAACACATATATTTTAATTAGTTTCTAGAAACAGGCGCTAATTCTATGCTCTACTTGTTATTCTAAGTTCCCTGGGGGGCAATTATTACTTGATAACTTCCAACAACAACAACAAGTAATACAACATTATAATTAAAACTCAAAATAAACCTGCTCCGACTAGGTAGTTTTAATTGCTATTAAAGAATTGACCGTGTGGCTTGCGAAATATAGTGGGTTCGGTGTTATTACTTAAATTGATAAGAGTATATTGGTGTGGAAAATTATAATGGGATCAAGCCTACAAGACTATTTAGAGACACAAGGTGGTCCTTGAAGAGACTTATTGGAACGGAAATTAACGGCGAGTAACACTGACCCGAGACCTCTACTAAAATTACTGTGGGTCAATATGGTGTATTGCTATGGAATATGTAATTGTTATATAACGTGCTGAAATACCGTCACTACCTTTCAGTAAGTCTTTATTCTGAAAATGCAGTCGATAGTTCTTCAGTACTTACTGTGGTTCGAAGTCTTCTACTAGTACTAGACGTTGTCTATTCAAAGCTCCCCGTACCTATCGAAATTGCATCATCCACAACTAAGATATCAGATCGAAGAGATAAATCGTATTGCCTATCGATTGGTATGTGAACACTATAAATCCTTATAAAATCCGGAATTTGTGCTAATGTTAAAGCTTGTGATATCGCTTGGAAAAAATATTTATATTTTTTACATTAAAATAACAAAAAGTAATGCAATTTACACTGGGAAACTTGAAAGAAATAATTTTCAACAAATTCTGATCTAATTCGTGAATTGAAGAACAACAATAAGAAAGCTTTGGGTCATGTAACTAACATAGTCTTTAAATACACTGTGTAACAGAATACAATATGCTATATTTAATTTCTGACATATAAGAAAGCAAAAGACACTAAATGTTTGAAAAATCACTCATGTCATATGGATTTTGTACCTATTACAATCAGTTTTCCTAAAGGTTATCCTCATAGAAAAATAAATCGATAAGTGGCTAGCAGTGACACATGACACATTTTGTGGCTGGGAAAACCTGGAATTGAATCCGAGACTTACGTCTCAGCGGTCCCTTATAATCCTCCTTACATAAAATAGCTTTTCAAATATAATGAAGAAAATAATTAAACTTAGTAGATAAAGTCATCTGCTTCTTAGAAATTATTACTTCACTTTTATTCTTATTAGCTTGACATTTTTTTAGCTGGTGATTACAAAATTCTTACTTAGTAAGATACTTAAAAAATAATAAATTTTACCGTAATATTATGGAGCCAGAATGTTTGTTTCTTTGGATGCGGCTATCCCAATATGAATGGATTTTTAAGCGATATAGATTATAACAATACACGCCGGCTCACTAAATGATGCAAGAACGATTTAAAATCATTTCTGTTAAGGTACACCTTGAAAGAATTTCTTCGTATGCTTTATTTTAACTGATGCACATCTCTTACATTGAACATATTATGTAACGTAACGTAAAAATAGTAACGATACTTGCGTTCATTTCATAATCTTATGTCAAAATGGCTAATAATATTAGAGGTTCAATTTAAATAAAAGATATTTATACCTTATCAATTTAATCGATATATACAAATTATCCTTTCGTTAATATAATATATATATCTTGATGTAACAAAACATAGTATTTTATTATCACCTACGTCACACGTCAAGTAATAATATATATGTATGTACATATATATTCTTACTCATACAAGAACATCTATTTCATTTATAAGTTCCTGTAATTATCTAAGTCCCATCCAAAGTTGGTGGAGCCCCTCGATAAATTTTCACTACCACTTCAATGGAGCTCGGTCTTCAATACTCAGTAATATCATAACAAAATGTTCTTAACTTAACTTCAAGACCGCTGCAATTGCGTACAACAATCATAACATTCACGTTTTTATATAATATTTTTAAGGTATTTTATTACGAGTATTAAAATACTTTGAAAATATTAACACAAATAAAAAATAAATATTATTATGTATTATTTCAAAACAGAGTTTTTTCGGTTAACCATATTCTCAGATTTTTACACTACCGTACAAACAGAACTTTATTGCGTTTTTTAAAGTTCTTTAAACCAGTTTCGTATTTTACAATATCTATTTCCAAAAAAAAAAAAACTACAATAACCATTAAAATTATTAATTTCCGGATTGAAACTATGAATTTCAAAACGTATTTTCACCAATCTGTTCTACAAAGCAATTACCAATTGAAACTGTTATACTATATTTTAATTTTAGCTACATTCCAATTCAACGAAATTCTATTAGGTGTATGTACTCGTTTATTAATATACATAGGTGTGTTTGAATTTTTCTGAAAACTCTATTCAGTTATATGTCATCGTTTTCCCAAAATTGACGTCTTAATACCTATATAAGTGTCAAAGTGTCTTACCTAAGAAAATTGAATCAATATTCTAGTAAATACAAATGTACCCATTTCCTTAGAACACATCGGTGCTGGAAAACCATCACTGGCGCTCGGCGATGAGCTGCATCATTGAAAGCGGACTCTTCAGCGATCAAAACATCCGCATGGAACTTGAGAGGCAGATCAGTTCACTCATCCTGGCTACTGACATCACTCGCCAACAAGAGTACCTGAGCCAGTTCAAGGTAAGAATCTATCAACATACATAGAACATTAGAAGAACCAGTTTACCTTTAATTTCTGTTTCACTGTTTCAAAACATTTATCTGGTTGAACGCAGACTACTATTTCATGCTCGTTAAAACCGAGTTAAAAGCCGATTCCATTGCAAAACCTTAATTAATACCAAAACACTGATGCTATTCCATATCGAAACGGTTCCGTTCACAATTCATCACAATAAATTTGCACGTGAATACATTTATTAACAATGCAATAACTTATAGAACAAAACGTTTAACTAGAGTAAATATTTGTTTTTTATTAGGACTTTAAAGTTACAGTAGGACCTCGATTATCCGGACTAATTGTTGTAGGTAGGCATCCGGATAATTGAAAGTCCGGATAATCCAATATATGAAGAAAAACGGGCTTTTTCCATATGTCCATATGTAGTCTGTACCCTACATATGTAATGTTAGGTGTTTATTTAAAACAACAAATACATATGAACGAAAATCAATAAAAATCACGGACGGCACGAGTGGCGTGGCGTTATGCAAGTTCTGACATGTTAATCTATACTAATATTATAAAGCTGAAGAGTTTGTTTGTTTGTTTGTTTGTTTGTTTGAAAGCGCTAATCTCCGAAACTACTGGTTCGAATTATCGAGTCCAGTTATCGAGGAAGGCTGTGGGCTATATAACATCACGCTACGACCAATAGGAGCAAAGATATAGTGGGAAATGTGTAAAAAACGGGAGAAATTATTTCATCTTTGAAGTCTTCCGTTGCGTGCACCCTGAAAACGGTTCAAGATGCACAAAAAATATGTATTAAAGAATAATAGCTCTTTTAATAATCTAAAAAACAGTCCGCGACAGTATATGTCTATCTTTTAAGATTAACACACTAAAACTGTTTTTATGGTATCTAATTTGGTCGAAATAATTTGTTTAAGTTGTATCAACATAATAATATTATTCAAATAAACAAATAAATATGTTTTTGGTTAAGAGTACTTCATTGTGAATAAAAAAAACATAGGTTTTATCCTGAAAATTCTAAGGGAACTCGACCATTCCGAAAACCCCACAAGAAAGGGAAAAATGTGGGAAGAACCAAAAATCTGAGGGAAGTCACTATTCCACGCGGGCGAAGTCGCGGCAAAAGCTAGGGTTAGAATAAACTCGTCGCGATTGGCAGTCCGGATAATCGCGAATTCGGATAACCGAGGTCCGGATAATCGGGGTCCTACTGTATCATTTTTATATGTGAATTTAAAATACATAAAACATCAGAAGACTTGATCTGTCCTGTGAAATATTCGTTACGCTAAGTAATATCAAAGATACGCACACATACAAACCAATTAATTATACGATAAAATATGAAAACCGCCTGCTCTTTCTCGGTTTGATCTCACACCACTTCAGTGGTTTACAGACGAGCTTTCGTTTTCACAAGTGTTTATCATCGTTTAATATGCAGTTATGTACACAGAACATATTCTTTAAATACTGGAGATAATAAACTTGATCGTTTAGATAAGAATCAATATACCTGCTCGATGTATCCAAGTTAATATTTAAATTCTTCGAATATTTTTTATTAATAAAAAGCGTTTCTTGTCTCTCTAATGAGAACGAAGGTTGTTAAGGATTCCAAGAATTTTCTTTGAATATAATTAATCAATATCTTTCTAATAAAACAATGTTAGTGGAAATTCTTAAATGTTACCGTGATTTCTTTGAGTTTCATTAGATAAATTACAAATGAAATGTGCTTTTACAAGTTAAACAATCGTTACATCCCCTCCCCTCCTTCATAAAATGTAACTTAACTGAGTAAAATGACTGCAGTATACTCGTACATATATATTTTTTAAAGATGCTCCTTTGAAATGATTTATAGAGACTTAAAAGTATTTTTTTTTTTGGGAAATATCGTTTTATTAAAATTACCATATTAAATTTAATATAATGTATAATTAAGTAACGAGAGAACAAAAAGAAATAAATAATTTTTTATTTCAATATTATAGACCTTATTGGAGACAAGTCAATCCATGTACCAAAAGCAATACATCTGTTTACATTTTAAAATCTTGTCACTTTTTTGCGATTAATAAAGTGACATTAGAAACTAATTATCTCAAGTATAACAGTAAAATATTATCACACTTCAAGTTTTATTCAATAACTACATTTTATTAATTATTTTTTTTGTTATGGAAAATAAATTATGCACCGTATTATGAATAAAAATATAGGAAAGTAACGCCATTCATTGAACACCTTAAAAATTTTCTTATTGATACAAATACAGTCAGCGAATTAAAAATAGGAACATAATATATATAGAACATTTTTTGTTCAACTAACTGGGAGGTAGTATTTTTATTATTTTTTAGTTCCACTCGAATTTGACGTTTCAATTTATGTGATCTGTGCCGGGAGAATCTATTAATTTTGTCGAGTGTTAGTGACCGCAACACTAATACGGATACGGGCCCCTAGAAACTAGAATAGAATAAAACAAAACATACATCGATATATGTATTTTGGAGTAGTTATTCAACTGCATCTATCGTGACATTGACCGAGAGCTATCGATATTAGATTTCACAGCTAGAAGCATCAATGATATTAATTAAAGTCAACTGTAGCAAAACTATCTTCCTTAATAGACTTAGCACTGTACGATACAGATTTCATTTTTAGGATATTGAGTCTTCTGGATTTTATCGAGGAATATAGACTAGAGACTTGGTAATGGGTTTTATTAATTTAAAAACACATTACATTTACGAACTAACGCCTCTTTTGTATCATTAGTCAATGGTTTTATAGTATAAGGGACGTTCGAAACTTGCACAAATGAAAGAAATTAAGGAGATATAGTTTAGCGTGATATGTATAGATTATTAAGTGTGAATGGAACGTAACGGATGATGGATACAAGTGAAGAAGAATACGGAGAATAGAGTGCATGGATTGTGTGATAAATTATTCGTATAAGAATGACGTGTATTATATGTACATATATAAGTAGAAGTACACACTTTATCGACGTCAAGTCAATAGGAAAATGACTAGGAGATGATTACATATTTAACTATATACTAGTAGGGGTTAGACATAGGAGATTTTTGCATCCCATTAGCATTAAAATGGCGCACTTTAATTTATGATTGGTCGCCAGCATTCCTAAAATTCTATCTCAATGCGTTCCAGATGACTCTCCTAGATCAGAGTAATTTAGTAAGATGAGGTAAAGGTATCGAAAAAACTTGTTAAATCTGTGCAAAGGCAGTTGGAACTGGTAAGCATCTGCTGGTGGGATGTAAAGTACTCCTGGACAGCGGTCAATACTCGCGTCGTCACGATAGGGTTCTAGAAATCATATGTGAAGCGGTTAGTCTTTCTGTAGCTAGAGCGCAAAGGGAAATAACCACAAACGAACGAACGATCAGTGGGTTTTGTGAGAGAAGACACTAGGGCTACAAAATCAAACGTCAAGCCTTACTCCATCATTAAAGCGGCGTCGGATTGGACTATAATGATGGACACTTATGAAAAACAATATAAAATCCCTGAGGATATTTGTGCGTCGGCCTCCAGACCTGATATATTTTTGTTTTCGGGAATTTTAAAGCGCGTAGTGATGATAGAGCTTACGGTCCCTTGGGAAGCCAACATCCCCGAAAACCATACCATCAAGGTCAACAAATATTACGAGCTCAAAAATAGGTTCGTAGTAGATTTGTACGCGGTAGAGGTGGGAGCGAGAGGTATAACAGCGAAATCTCTCAACAACCTACTAAAAGACTTGGGCTTGTCCAGAACTCACATTAATGCATTCTTGGAACGTACATCGAAGGCAGCCCTAGTAGGTTCTTTTCAAATTTGGTTAGGTAGGCAGAGGAGCTTGGACAGTGGAGGTGAGCGTATAACGCGCATTAGTTAAGGGGCCCCTTAAACTTATACTTGAGTCGCAAGTACCAAGCACTGTTGAAGCTCCTCTCCCTGCAACGCGATGGACCCGGCATCCGCACGGTGAATCCATGGAATGCTGAGACGTTTCTTCTCTAAATTGATAATTTCAATATTCAGTAAGTGTTTGTTAACTAATCTTTTAACTAGTATAATGAACAATGGATATGTCTTTCAATTGTTTTAATGTTTATCAATAACAATATAATCCTAACATCGACTTGAAAAAGTACGTCAGAATAACGAGATTATAAACTATAGTAACGATGTTCAGGAACCAATTTAAAATGTCAGATGAAATACTGTACTGTGGGTTAATTGGTAGCTATTGTTTGTAAACCGATTTGTGGGGGTTTTCATTTTATTGAAAACTTTCAACAAATCAAAAGAATTAACGTTATTTTAAATATATTATTGAACATTTTATTCTATGAATAATATATTATATGACAAAAATAATGATATCTCTAGAATAATAAGAAATTATGCCTGTATGAATATTTTATTGCGACGTCTTTCTGTTTAACTTTTGCATTATTTTTGTTACTCCTTAACAATAGTCTTCGTATTTGAAAGGTATATCAAGCCGTTTTAGAAGACCAACTTTCATTCTTTGCTTCTAATATTCTAAAACGTCAATGTAGAATAATTTTAATGTGAAATTAACAAAGGAGTTTATATATTTTTGTTAAAATTTTAATTAATTGCTTTATCAAGGAAGCTTGTTTAAATATTAGCACAGAAAAAATATTCAACCGGTATATTCGTTTCTAAAATTTGACTTAAGATATATGAATTGTTTAAATAAAATTATATACAATGCTTAAGAAAATTATAGCCGATTTATATGGAGTTATATAATTATTATTGTTACATATGACGAGGATGTTTACAGAGTGTACTGTGAAACTTATGCCTTTAAAATTTTAATGTCAAATAAAAGAACCACTTACTCTGCGATATTATTCCTCATTGAACAGATTTAGCAATTTATGAACTTTATGTTAATTTATTTGAATTCTTTTATTAC